GCCTTTCATATTAGCCACTTCTGATGCCAATTGATCAACTAGAAGTCAAGTTATTATTGGTTATTCCTAAAACTTGAATAAGTAACAAGACTTGATGCTTATTGTGCTCATAATAGTGCTGTCTCCTTTGAGAATGTGCTCTGCTTCGTGTTTGTCCAGCATCTGAGGTGTTTTTCTCTGTCTCAGATCGAGGATGGAGAGATCTATGCAAGCATCAACCAGAAGGACGGCATGGTCTGTTTCCATGACAACCCGGAGAAATACAACAACCCAGCGATGCTCCACAAAATTGACCAAGAGGTTTGCAATTATAAAACACTGTTTCTCTTAATTCAGTACCAAAACAACAACAGCAGGAGGCCTTACATTAGAGATATTTAGAAGACAGCATGCACTTAATATTTCTGCCCTCAGTGTGTTGTCTTGTTAATCATTTGATTTCTCAAAGGTGCTTTATGCTGCAGCATATCATCATGTTTTTATGTTTTGGATTTATTTGTTTATTATAAAATAAAAAATACAGTTAAACATTAATTTTGTGCAATATTATTTCTGTTTAAGAACTATTTATATAAATATATAGTATAAAGTGTATATATCATGTATATTAATGTGAACCATAAAGTATTATAAATAAACCATGTTACTAAGTTTTAGCATTTATGCAACATGTCAACGTACTTTTATGTTTTTGGAGTTATTTATATGTTAGAAATAAAGTAAAACGCTAATATTGTGCAATATTATTGCTAGTTAAGAACTGTTTTATTTTTTTAATGTGAATAATAATGTATTATAAATCAAATCTTTATCTTTTGGATTGATTATTTGTTAGAAAATACATGAAAACATTCAAATTGTTCATTATTACTTTTATTTAAGAACTGTTTATGTATGTAAGTATGTATGTATGTATGTATGTATGTGTGTGTGTGTGTGTGTGTGTGTGTGTGTGTGTGTGTGTGTGTGTGTGTGTGTATATATTTATTTCTATGTGAAAAATAATGTATTATAAATGTAAATTAATTTAAACTTTTGATTTTGAAGCACAAGATGGGAAAATTATTTCAGATTCAGATTTTTGATTTTAGAAACCTATAAATGCAATATAATATTTGTGCACATACGTCTACATTCACTCCATTATATATGATCTTGTGCAGCATTTGAGTGTGTTTTTGTTTCTCACACAGATGCTGAAATGTATAGAGCTGGATGAAAAACTAAAGTCCATGGATCAAGAAATCACTGTAAACCCCCAGTTTGTGCAAAAGGTACCAGCTCGTGAATCAGTTCAGAATCAAAGCTTTTAGAATCAGTGTTGGGAAAAGTTACACTATAATTTACTTTTGATGACGTTTTTAAAAAGTTACTAAATGTGTTTCTTATTTAGGAAAACTTTGTTGGTTTTTAATGTAACATTTTCAGCATTATTTGATTTAATATAAAGTATGCATATATACACACAATTGAAAGCAGAAGTTTACATGCACTCTTAAAAAAGGAACATAACCATTTTTTTAAAATGTCTGATGGTAAATGATACTAAATGTTTACTATTTTAGGTCTGTTAGGATTATCTAAATGCTTTACATTTGCTAAATGTCAGAATAATGAGAGAAAAGTTTACACTCATTTGCTTGTTATTTTTTAGCTTTGCTTTTAAACTGTATGACTTTGGTCAGATGTTTTGGGTCTCCTTCCACAAGCTTCTCTCAATAGTTTGCAGGAATTTTGGTCCGTTCCTCCTGACAGAATTGGTGTAACTGTGTCAGATTTGTAGGCTGTCTTGCTCAGTCAAGCTTTTTCAACTCTGCCCACAAACGTTCTATAGGATTGAGATCAGGGCTTTGTGATGGCCACTCCAAAACATTCACTCTGTTGTCCTTCAAGCACATTTGAACTAATTTCTCAGTATGCTTAGGGTCATGATCTGTTTTGAAGACCCATTTGTGGCCAAGTTTCAATTTCCTGGCTGATGTCTTGAGATGTTGCTTCAGTATTTCTCCATAATGTTCTTTCTTCATGATGTCGTCTATGCTGTGAAGTGGACCAGTCCCTCCTGCAGCAAAACAGCCCCACAACATGATGCTGCCGCCCCCATACTGCACAGTTGGGATGGTGTTCTAGGCTTGTTCCCCTTTGTCCTCCAAATGTAACGCTGGTCATTATGGCCGAAAAGTTCAATCATAGCTCCATCAGAGCACAGGACATGTCTCCAAACATCACTCTTTTTCCCAGTGTTATTTAGCTAATTGTAATCTGGCTTTGTTGTTGATTCTGGCTTGTTGATTTTCCCATGTTTTCACACAGTAAGCAGTCGGTTTGAGCTTTTCCTTCAATACTATTCTACAGTTGTGCCTCACATTAACTCAAATGTTGTCAATTAGCCAATCAGAAACTTCCAAAACCTCGACATCATCATCTGAGCTTTATCAGAGGCAGAATAATCTTATTGTGTGTAAACTTGACTTTCAACAAGAGTTATAACATTTTCTCTAACAATCTCTCTCTCTCATTATTCTGCTATTAAGCAGAACAGAAACACGTGATAATCCTGACTTACCTGAAAGAGAAACATTTTAGTTCAGACTTTTCTTTAAATGGTTATATGCCCTTATATACAGTGCATTTAAACTTCTGCTTTCAACTGTACACACACAGTTGAAGTCAGAATAGTTAGCCCCACTGAATTAGTCACAGATCGTTATGTATCTCGGTTTTGGCATCACGGTTTGGTACGGTACATCAGGAACAATAACAAATCTCCAGCGCTTACCTTTTCTGTTTATTATGATCAGGCAGAAGTGTTTCGTCACATTCCGCTACCGAGCTGAAGAGCTTCTTGTGATGCAAAAACACAAATTGAATGCAATAATTAGAATAAAACTTTATAATCCGGAAGCTAATTAGGAATTGAATCTCAGCCCTCTCCTAAAACAAAGTGAAAGCAATAATTATGTATTAAATGTAAAGCTCTGTCATTGTTTGTGGATGTGCTTAACCGTTGTACACGAGTTTAGAAGCCCTGCGAAGATAATTCAACGTTCACCCACAGCAGCACTTATTTGTCCCACATACTGTCAGTTTCAGAGAAGTAGACCAATCAGAAGAGCTCTGAGGCGGGACTAGTGCTGCGTGCTTCTGTTTATGTGTAGCAAGTTGTTGTGATACTGGAAAAATAGCCGAAGCACTGCTGAGCACTGATGTGTCGCGTTTTCCGACAGCAAAGCACATTCTTTGTGAATGCACTCTGTATTCATCGCAAGGGCATGTGAACCAAACCGTGAGTATTGTACCGTGACTGTTCGGGACGAATGCATGTACTCTTACAGCCCTAATGCTTTATTATATGCTGCACTATATGCAACAACATCAGTCTGGGCAGCTGCGAACCACATTTTAAAGAGCAACGGGCTGGATGCGAACATTGGAGATAGGTGATGACATTGCGCACTCGTTCAGTGAAAAATATTAAGTGCATGTGTTGTTGTAATTACAACTTTACTGTATTAATATGTGATGCCAGCACTGTTGTTGTGTTTCAGAGTATGGGAACACAAGAAGACGATGTCGGCAGCAAGACGTCGAGCTACTCTTGAGGCCGTTTCTCCACAGAACCGTCCTCATCCCAAAGCTGGAAACCAGAATCAGTTCAATACGGACTCTATTGGAGGAAAACAAAAACAAATGTAATGCGTGGAATGACCTGCGTTTGGTTCTGTCACAGTGCACCCTAAAACAAGAACTCATCTTTTTTTGTCAGTGTTTATTTATCTATGCTTGGTCAACACGCCACTGCATCATTTACGGTCATACAAATAAAGATACCGGACTACTTTGTTCAAGAGTTGTCGAAATTACATATGGATGCTTGTCTTTATTGCAGCACCACATCATGAAACTATATCCTTACACTATGAGGTTGTAGAATGCTTGATTCTGATTGGCTGTTATTATACAGTTATTATACAGTTTCAGTTAACCTACCTTAAAGAAGACCTGTTGCTAGCCATTAGCTCGCTCCTAATCCTATATATATTTATATATATATATTTATATATATATATATATATATTTATATTTTTTTTTTTTTTTTTTTAATATATATTTATATATATTTGTTATATATATATAGATAATTTGTTATTCTCTCATCTTATGATGAGAGTCATTTTTCTGGGAAGGAAGTCATTAAAAATACTTTTTATTTGAAATGTGGAAGGAATATGATTAAACCTTTATAGAAAAAAAGAAATATTAACATTTTACTCAAACTCTCTTCAACAAATCCAGTAAAGCTGACCATATTCGGGCGATCATTGTCGATTTTCTTTGTAAATAACCATAATTATTACATGAAATCTTTACAACATTTAACGTGAAGCGTCTTGTTTGCGTTTATCGATGAAATACTCCGCTATAGTTATTCCTGTGATCAGGAAAAGAGTGTGTTTTACACCTGTCAGCAGTGATGTTGAGTGTGTGTGTGCATGTGGAGCAGTGTTTTCTGCTCAATGACATAACCAGCAAGAACTATGGAGAGATAGCCAATCAGAAGCGCCTCTGCGGCCTACGAGCCTTTGAACAGAGACAAGCGTGCGCGCCAGCCAATCGCGTTCCAGAATTCTCAAAAGGCGGCGGGACTTTAACGGAAATGGCACGCGCGGAAGCCAATGGGAGCCGCGCGCTACAAGCCAACAACCAATCAGCGATTAATATCGCAAGGATTGCGTCGCCCACGGTGCTCTGTTGAATTCCTTTGCCGTCCATTAAAACAGCCGACTTGGAAAATACAATATCAAAAGTGTGGTCGGTTTTACTGTGGTTAATTATCGCTAATGATGACATATCTGCGGATGTCCGACAAGCGCTCTCCGCATGCGTAACGCACGCGTCTTCGACCCTGTCGCGGCTCGCTGCATTGCCTGACGAAAAAACGGAACAATTGCTGGATAATTCTCCTCGTGACTTCAGTTATTTCGTCGCTGAAAGCCGCAGGAACTCGAATGTGTTTTCTGTCATGAGTCCGGCCGGGTGCTCCCATGTGAACGGCTTCAAAGTGGACAACTGGAAGCAGAATCTGCGGGTCATCTACCAGTGCTTTGTGTGGAGCGGATCTGCCGAAACCAGGAAACGCAAGGTAAATAACACACATCAGAGCCCGGTGCTGCAGTGTATCGGCCCAGCCTTCAATCTGCAGCCCTCCCGACGGATATAGGACGTGTAAACAGCGATGTTAGTGTGATTTATTTACACCCAGTGATCTGCTTTCACGTCCATCCCTATGTGGATGCGTTTGCTGGCCTGCGCAGACTCCTCATTCAATACCTCATAGGGCTGGACGTGGAGATGCTGCTTCGCTTTTCCAAGCGGATTGTAGTCGATTTTACTTCATTTGCAGGATAATTCAGCGTCACACATGCTCTGGATCTCAATGAGACGCTTTCTGATGCTAAACGACTCGCACTGGGCCTAACGTTAAAATCGTTTGGGTGCACCAGTAGCTAGAGGTTTCTGTTTTATACTCATCATCACCCATTTTGTGTGGGGTTTTATGTTGTGTGTTCAGTGTCTTACGAAGCATCACATTTTAACACATCCTTTATTACATCCCTGGTGGTTTCGATCATATCGATTCGCTCTTTTGAGTCGGATCTTTTCGGTGAGTCGTCTGAGCCGGTGTGAAGGATCCGAATCATTCGACTACAACATTTATATTTGTTTATCAGTCTCTTAACTACTTATTTAGTACATATCTAATCACTCTCTCATATCCAAGGTTATGAAATCACTTAAGAAAGTTAATCCTAATGATTTGAGTAAATCTCAACAAACTGAGCCTGACGAATATATGAAATTACAACAGATTATGCGTATAAATAACACTGCATGCTAATCAATAGAGTGCGGCATCCATGGTAGAAGTCTCTTCTTCTGCTGAAGCCACAACCCTCAGATTTCTTTACATATTCATGTTTAGATGTGCAGCACCTGGTAAAGAACTACATTACCCACAATTCTGAAAGAATCTCCACCAATCAGAAACTAGAAACAAGTAACTGTACTTTAAAACCCATTTGCTACGTCCATTCCTACTAAATCATATGTGAAAAACAATACATGAGCAGAGTAACATGTTCAAATTCATACTATTCATAAAATAGTACCTGTTTCACTTATGTATGTATGTATATATATATATATATATATATATATATATATATATATATATATATATATATATATATATGTGTATGTATGTATGTATGTAATTGACACTTTAATGTATTGTAAGGCCACAAGAAAGTGTTATTAATGAAAATGCAGCAATACAGTTAACCCTATTAGGCCATGTTGAGATCACACGGCAGGTTTTGTGCATCAAAATTTCATACTTCACATATTCATACACCTTTAACAGTACTTTTCAATTCAAACAAAGCAGAGTATTACCTTTAGGACGCGCCATTTAGCTTCCTACAGCATCAATAAATCACGTTTGACGTGCGTAAATGCGTTTAACGTGTGTATATAATCATAATTTAATTATCACAATCCATTGCCCACTGAAGCATCTCTATTTTAATAATGCATCCATAATGAAATCTGATTCTTTCAGTGAATCATTTGAGCAGGTCTGAATGATTCATTCTCAAACCACACCGAATCATTTTAACTCATAGCCCCTTAATAACAGCTTATTTTTCAACCAATAACAAATCACCTGGATAAATGCTAAGACATTAACACATGAAGCTAAAATAAATGCTCTCATGACTAAAACTACATGCAACTTTATGAATATTCACATTTAGCATCCAAGTTCCTGCTGAAATAATACACTACCTATTATTTTGTGAAAATCTTCACCAATCAGAGACTAAATCACACACAAAGAAAGACCTTGTTAATGCTATGAAGCCCTGGGAATGCTCAGTGGACTCAATCTGCATGAACATTTGTGTAAGAATAGCCAATTAATTATTAATAAATACAGTTTCTCAGACGTTCCAAATCAATATATAATATACATATTCAGTCTCAATCTTTTCATAAGATGTCCATAATGTGCATCATGCCATAGCTGGTTGGTTCATAAAGGAAAAAACTGCTTTATGTTACCACCCTGGATCATTTAGACAACACCAAACACCAAAAAGGTACCATTACTTGGACACTGAAGTTGGCCTGATGCTGATTTTCATTTCCAAACGAAATGCAACGTCCCCATGACTTTAGGGTACAATGTCAATTTGGCGTCTTGTTGACGTCTTGTGCCTGCTTGGTGTTTAAGGCCATTTTGGTCATCATACGGTAATCTACTTATCAGTGCTTCTAAACAGTCTCTGGGCCAATGCTTGTTTAGATTTTAGACATCTCCTTGGACTTTTTCAATGCTTCCAAACTGTTTGCTGCAATTATAAATCACTCATCAGGGGTCAACAATAAGGACTGCCCGGTGGCCCGGGGCCAGCGTGAAAGACACTCGGGACAGTGGACAGGATTGTTACTGGCCCCTATCGGCCAGTAACGATGAGCACGTTTTTTTGTAACCTAGTAACAACCAGTACAGCGAAAAGATGGCAACATGGCGGCAAAATTAAACAATGAGGCTAAAAGAAAATGTCTCTTTAAAGTCTTAGAAGCAGACAATTACATGAGTACAAAATTAAGAAACTAAAAAAAAAAAAAAAAAAAAAAACGTTTATAAAATATAAAAATAATTTAGAATTGCATTAAAATACCAGCACATTTTTCATACGGCTCTTTCATTTGCATAAAATCTTGAATTCTGCTCGTTATACATTTATTAACATATTTAAAATGTTGAAATTCTAGATTTACATGCATAATTTTGCCACTATTTAAAATATGTGGCTAAGAAATAGCTATTAACTTTTTAGTTCTTTGGTGGGGCCAGTGAAAATTTTGGCAGGGCAAGTAAAAATCTCCAACCAATGGCCCGATCGGACCCGAGAAAAAATCCTTAGCGTTCAACCCTGCTCATGTCTTGAGGTTGTTCAGTATGATGCGATTTACCTTCTAAGTGTGATCTGATTGGACAGAAATCCCAGGACTGATTATTGTAATCCTCATAGACAAGAAAAAATAAAGTAGTAACTGCAGGTTGAAGGAAAGTAGTGGAGTAAATCACCGACCCTAGCACTTTTGGCCCGCACCCGGGTTCGTTTGACGTCATAATACGGTACGTTTAGCTAGTATGAACGTGTCTTCTGTACTCTGGTGCGCACCCGTAAACCGTACCCGAGTAGCCTGAAAGAGGTGGTCTGGGGTACGGTTCATGTGAATTCTGGTACGGTTCACTTCTGATGTGAATGCAATCGTACCAAATAACGGAAGTGAACCGCCAACTGTACAACAAACTATCGTTTTCATAACGTTCGTTTGTGTTTGTGTGTTCTGAATGTTTATAATATGTTTGCGGCAGATGGACGCGAGTCGCTTTCTGTATGTCCAAAATCAAAAGCTTCAGTAAAAGCAGAATGACAGCGATATGCGGACGTCTTTCCATTTCGGCGCTTGCTTTTGTGACTGTCACCTAGCAACTGGCGTAAACAAAACAGCAGCTCGATGACGCAAGCGTACCGGGGCTCAGAAGGAAAAAAGACAGTGTGAACACACCAACCGAGGAGGTGGCAGGGGGAGACAATCGAACTTGGGTACGGTCCAGGCAAATGAACCAAGTGTGAAAGCACCCTTAGACACCGACCATGATGTTGCACTGAACTGCTGATTCATCTTCTGAATCGCTTCGCAGAACAAAGTGTTTAAAAGTACAGATTCACACACAAAAAGATCTTGTTAATGTCATGAAGCTCTGAGAATGCTCAATCTGCATGAACATTTATGTGAGAATAGCCAATTAATTATTAATATATACCGTTTCCGAGATGTTTCAAATCAATATATGTTTCATACAGTATTTCAGGCCTTGTAGTTTATCCGTTCAGTCTCAGTCATCTTCATAATGTGCATCATCTTATAGCTGGCTGGTTCATGAAGGAAAAACTGCTTTATGTTACCACCCTGGATCATTTAGACCAGAGGTTCTCAAAGTGGGGGTCGGGACCCCCCGAGGGGTCGCGGGACAATGAAGGGAGTCGCCTGGTGATTTTCAAAAATCAATAAATTTTTATTAAACCTTAAGACTTACTGTATTTTATCAATAACCTACTGATGAGAAAAAATAGTTGTTTATAGTTACTATAAACTATATAGTTACTATAGTAGCTTATAATTACTAGTTCTATTGGATTGTGACTTCTCGGGTAATTACATTATACTAAAGACAAAGCTATACTGTCAGATGCAGCAGATTTTGTAACACCAGGTTAAACTTTCTAGCCCATATACAGCACTGACATACATTAAAAAAAAAACAAAGAATAGACTTGGGCCTATTGGTGTGTGTGCGTCATTGCATACAAGGTTTCTGTATTTATAACCACCACCTCAGAGAATATTGGGGGTCACGAGTCACTGGCATTCTCATTTTGGGGGTCGCGGGCTGAAAAGTTTGGGAACCCCTGATTTAGACAACACCAAACACCAAATGGATCATTTAGACAACAAACCATGATGTTGCACTGAACTGCTGATTCATCTTCTGAATCGCTTCACTGAACAAAGTGTTTAAAAGTACAGATTCACACACAAAAATACCTTGTTAATGTCATGAAGCTCTGAGAATGCTCAATCTGCATGAACATTTGTGTAAGAATATCCAATTAATTATTAATATATACCGTTTCCGAGATGTTTCAAATCAATATATGTTTCATACAGTATTTCAGGCCTTGTAGTTTATCCGTTCAGTCTCAGTCATCTTCATAATGTGCATCATCTTATAGCTGGCTGGTTCATGAAGGAAAAACTGCTTTATGTTACCACCCTGGATCATTTAGACACCACCAAACACCGAATGGATCATTTAGACAGCAACCCTGATGTTGCACTGAACTGCTGATTCATCTTCTGAATCGCTTCGCAGAACAAAGTGTTCAAAAGTACAGATTCACAGCCATGAGTCAGACGTTGTGGTGGTGATGACCACACGGCATGGCAGCTTAATAACTAACTATCCTCACCTAAGTCATCTCCATCTGAAAAACAAAAGGT